GTTTTTTTTTTTTTTTTTTTTCTGCTCTTTTCTGTGATTCCTCGGTTCTGATTCAGTAGTGTTCATTTCGAGTGCTGAGCGTTCTCCTGGCCCTAAACCGCAAAGCAGGACGTAGCTGGCTTACGTTCGACCTAGCTCTCCAAGCCTACAGATTATGGTTTAGGGTTTAGGGTTTAGGGTGTTGGTTTCGGGTTTAGGGTTTTGGTTTCGGGTTTAGGATTTAGGGCCTACAGAACGCTCGGAATACCGAGTGCAACTACAAGGCGAAACACGATGCTCTCCATGCTCCCTTGACATCATGTCTGAGGATCGGGGGTTTGGACTGACAAGCCAGAAGCCGTGCAGCTGGTGCTGAAGCCAGATGCTAGAGGTTTAGATGCGATGTTGGAGGGGTGGTACATCCATGGGGGAAGGCAAAAAGTCCCATCGATCGTCATAGGGCTGCCAGCCTTGCTGCAGGGACTTGCTGACTGGCCCTTTCCCCCTGATGGCCTTGGCAGAGGTGGGCGGCATGTGATGTGAGTTTCGCTGGGCAAAATGAGGCTTTCTGCAGAGCGCATGACGCCCTGGCGCATGACGCCCTGAACCCGACAAGCCCTATACCGATCCCCGAAACTCTACCCCCAAAAGCTCTTAAGAAGCCCTGAACCCGAAACCCTAAACCCGAAGCTTTAACCCTGAAGCCCCCTTCCCCTCTCCCGTCAGGGCCCCTTCCTGTCTGCCCAGCTCTTCGATCAAGTTGGGGTGCGGCTGGCCTCGTGCCCTGCCTTGGCTCTCTACCTCGAAGACACAGACACAGGCCCGAAGAGCAGCTTTCTCCTTTCAGGGGGGCCCAACCCTAAACCCTAAATCCTCAACCCCAAACCCCAAAAACCCCAAAAACACCCAAAACCCCAAAAACCCTAAAATCCTGCAACCCTACAGCCCAAACCCCCCTGAAGAGTCTGAATCCCAAGACCTGAAGGCTACTTGAAGCACAAGGCGAGTGAGAGGCTCCCGACCGTCCTGGTGACGCGAGCCCGACTCTTCAACCATCCTGCAGGCGAGCTGAAATCTTCCCGAGATGGAGCTGCGATGGAACATGGGTTTTAGGGTTTGGGGTTTAGGGTTTTGGGGTTTAGGGTTTTGGATCCCACAGGAATCATAATTCCAGAAGCATCATGTCATAGAAGTTCGTAAACTTGCCAGGCTTCTTCTTCCGTGGTCTGTTGATGGAGTTTGCCATCATCAACCAGCCAATGGCTGATGCCAAGCGTCAACCTTGCTTGTTTGTCAAGATAGTTCCGGCCCATAGTCTGGCATCATGCTCCCTCCAAACTTAATAAACCCTAAACCCTAAACCCTAAACCCTAAACCCTAAACCCTTAACCCTAAACCCTTAACCCTTGAGCCGATGAGCTGCAAGGAAAGGGTTCGAAGGACTCGACTGTGGATAGGTGCCGGAAAGCTGGCGGTGTGCGCTCACCCCAAGTGGACCCTAAACCCGAATTTCCCGAAACCGAAGCCTAAACCTGACATCCTGCTTGCCAAAACGGCCAGGTGGACACTTCTGGTTTTCAGAGGTTCCGAGTCTGGATGAGAAGGCCGCTTGGGGAGAAGTCGGGGCAGTTCCGTGGCCCAAGCGCCGCGGAGCTATTTCATACAAGACGTTACCAGGCGCATAGTTGAAGGTATTGTGAAGGTACATGGGTCGGGTTTTGGTTAGGACTAGACCTTGAGGGCTCAGGTTCGGAGGTCCAGGGTTTAGGCGGCAACAGGACCGCTTCGCTTTCAGTTGATTCCATTCTCCATTACGGTGTGCTGGGTTGTGCCATGATCTCTCAGGCTGCGCCTAAACCCTACAAGCCCCAAATCCCCAAAGCCATGGTAGTACTCTTGTCGAACTCCTTGCACTTCATGTAGAACTCTCAGAGGCTTACAAGAGCCCCTTAAGTACCCCGCAGAAAGCCCCTGAGCCCAAAACCCTCGCAGGCAGACGAAGTCCGTGACATTGGTTTCGGTGGGGGCGGCGATCCCTGGAAAAGCTGGGAGGAGTCGGTTTGTTTGGGTTTCTGCACAATTTATAGGGGTTTAGGGGTTGTTTTCGGGTTTTTTTGGGGGTTTCTGGGGTGTTGTTGGGGGTCTTAGGGTTTATAGGGGTTGTAGGGGGTTTAGGGCTTGACAGAGTTTGTAGGGGTTGATAGGGTTTGGGTGTTAAGGAGGGCTTCGAGAGTCGGGTGGGGCTTCAGGGTTCAGGCTTTGTATGGGATCAGAGACCTCTGTTAGCCGAAAACGGTGCTATCTGGCGAAAACAGGAAGTTCGAGGTCTTGAGGTCTTATGGTTTATGATGGTCATGATGATGATGACGAGGAGGATGGTGATGACGGCGATGATGAGCGTCAATGAGACAGGCGATGGGGGTGATAGTCATGCTGCTGAGCATGAGGACGACATGCGTCCTTGCGGTAATTACCCGGTACTTGTGACGTAGTGCTTAAATTGCTGACATCTGTGTTCTAAACCGCTTGATGCCGTGTGAATGATTATGTCATTTGGCTGGTAGCGGCTATTGCTGTTGTCGCCGTCCTTGTCTTGCTGCTGTTACGTACAATGATTCTCTCTACGAGCTTCCAGGCAATTCTTGCAACCCTTGCTACTATTATTCCCCTGGCTGCCCCCTAAACCCTGAACCCAAAACCCAAAACCCTACACCC